GGGGGGGGGGGGGGGGTGAGTCTTTGTCCTCCCCCCCTCCCCCATCCCCCCGGGGGTGGGGTGGGGAAAGTCTAGAAGAAACACTGGTTGAATTTGCTAGAATCTGTTTATCTCTTATGGGTATACTTAATATGTTACCAAATTATTATAATTTGATACATTCCATAGTATAATAAACAAAATGTAAAGATTATACTAATTTAGCGTGAATTAATTGTTTCAAAACCGTTTGGCAAACTCTTTTTATTGCATTCGAAAAGCGTAAAAATGTGCCAATGTGGCAATACAACCAGTTCTATTTATTTTTTGATCGCGTTTTATTGTCTTTTGAACATTTCCATTGTGATTTCACCCCATCCACTTCGGTGGACGGTGTATTTGGTGTAATCTTATGTAAGCTTACAAGATTATTTAACTCTAATTAATCATTCATTTAAATGGAACGATCATTCTTTCTTTATATATTTTGCTGTTTTGCTTTGTTGCAGAGTTTCTTCCCCCCCCCCCCCCCCGAACGAAATGAAATTTATATAATTTATATAGAAAATATATACTTTTAACAGTGTCCGCCCCCCCCCCCCCCCCCCGAAGAAAGTTTACCGCCCCCCCCCCTGAAGATTTCAAGTGCCCCCCCCCCCCGGAGAAAAAAAGTCTGGAAGAAACACTGCTTTGTTGTAACCCCCCAAAATGGTGTCACCACAGTGCGGTCCGCATCCCCCCCCCCCACACACACACCTTTTCGAGTGAAACGTCATTTATAGATGACCCCCCCCCCCCCTTACGTCTAGATTTAACTCTAGTTATTATTATCTAGACTACATCTAGATCTAGGGACTACCCATTATTCTAGATCAGTGTTTCTTCCAGACTTTTTTCTCCGGGGGGGCACTTGAAATCTTCGGGGGGGCGGTAAACTTTCTTCGGGGGGGCGGACACTGTTAAAAGTATATATTTTCTATATAAATTATATAAATTTCATTTCGTTCGGGGGGGGGGCGGTAAAAAATTTTCGGGGGGGCTTCGCCCCCCCGAAGAGATGCCTGGAAGAAACTCTGTTCTAGATCTATATTAGCCTAATTAGGTTAAACCATAATGTGGCATAAAGGGGACCGTAAAGGTAGACTATTATAATCGTTTAGTCTAGTTCTACATCTATATCTACATCTAGATCTAGATCTAGATTCTAGTAGCAGTAACTTTATATTATTATTTTATTATAGAGTCTAGATCTAGATTCTAGATCTAGATTTTTTAGATCGAAATTCTATTGCTAACTAGGAATTAATAAGATACCATTTTTTACTAGATATAGAATTTTCTAGATTAAGTCTAGAACTACACCTAGATCTAGATCTAGTTAACACTAAAAAAAACTAGAGTCTAGGACTAGATTCTAGATCTAGATTTAGATCTAGATTAGGTGATTAGGTCTTCCTATCACTCTGTAACGTAACAGGCATGAACAACAACAAAATTGGTCGCCTTCTTGGATTTTTAAAATCATTTTTAGTAGATCTGAGATCTAGATCTTGATTTGTTACTCAATAGTTAGATCTAAATCTAGATTTTCTAACTTTTCTTTTTTGTAAGTTAGCTTAAGTCTGTAAGTGAAGTGTTAGAAAGTTTACCTTACGAAAAAATTAATAAAGTAAGAAAGCGAAATTTTTTACCTAACAAAACTTTATTGACTTATCACTAGTCTGTAGGCATCGGTGGTCTAGTGGTAGAATACTCGCCTGCCACGCGGGTGACCCGGGTTCGATTCCCGGTCGATGCAACTTTTTTTTTCTTTTCAAGATTTCTTTTATCTGATATTTTAATTGCTAAAAAAATCAGAACGGTTTTAAACTGAAATGACAGTATTTTGTTATACAATTGGACTGTACACAAGAAGGGAGAAACAAAAACTAGAGTAATGTCATACAAACATAAAATCTGCGAGAAACCACTAAGATATCTATATATAAAGATAGTATATAGATATCAAACAATATGCCTAATTTAAATTCGACACTCACAGGCCGCTTGAATAGATAAATAAAAAAGTCGATGTGTACGGTCGATCATCAGGTGTGTGGTCGATCGTTTTTTTTTTAACGGGTGATTTTTGCTCGTGTAAACAAACGGAAAAGATGGGCTTTTGTTTCGTAGGTATGCTTTGTTATAGTAAGTGTTGATATACTTTGTTGTAATAGTTGTTGATATGCTTTGTTATAGTCAGTGTTAATATGGTTTGTTATATTAAGTGTTGATATGCTTTGTTATAGTAAGTGTTGATATGGCTTGTTATTGTAAGTGTTGATATGGGTTGTTATAGTAAGTGTTGATATGGGTTGATACAGTAATTGTTGATATGCTTTGTTAAAGTAAGTGTTGATATGGTTTGTTGTAGTAAGTGTTTATATGGTTTTTATAGTAATTGTTGATATGCTTGTTATGATTTGTTTTAGTAAACGTTGCTGTGCTTTGTTAAACGAGTGCTGATATGTTTCTTTATTTTAGTTGGTGTTAATACTCTTTGTTTTAGTAAATATTGATATGCTTTGTTAAAATTATTGTTGATAATAATATTGTATTGAACAGCTTTGTCATAATCAGTGCTAATATTCAGTGTTGTGTTGTTGGTATGTTATAGTGAATGCTCATTAAAAGTGTACTACGTCATAGCGTAAAATTATGACGTGATATGCAAGTAAGTATCGAACATTCTGGCCAAAATAAAGCTACTTATTTGGTAAAGTGTGTGTGTTTTAATAGGGTCGTCCATAGGGGTCGTCCATAGGGGTCGCCCATAGGGGTCGTCCATAGTGGTCGTCCATAGGGGGTCGTCCATAGGGGTCGTCCATAGAGGTCGTCCTTAGGGGGTCGTCCATAGGGGTCGTCCATAGGGGTCGTCCTTAGGGGGTCGTCCATAGGGGTCGTCCTTAGGGGTCGTCCATAGAGGTCGTCCATAGGGGTAGTCCATAGGGGTCGTCCATAGGGGTCGTCCATAGGGGTCGTCCATAGGGGTCGTCCATAGGGGTCGTCCTTAGGGGGTCGTCCATAGGGGTCGTCGATAGGGGTCGTCCATAGAGGGTTGTCCATATGGGTCGTCCATAGAGGTCGTCCATAGGGGTCGTCACGCTTCTAGGGAGGGAGGGGAGTTCGCACTTTTTACGACGATGATTTACAAGAGGTAGAGGTGAGGGGTGGGGGGGGGGGTAGAATGACTGACGACACCCACTTAATTAATTAATTTTCTAACATTAATTTATAAAATTAATGTTAGAAAATTAATTTAAGTCGTTATTTCGTTGTTGTTAGTTTTTTATAGACAGTTTTTTTAAATTGTATTAAAATACTCGCCGTTGGCCGAGCTCAGTAAATATCTTAGAAAAGAAATCGATGTTTAAAAAACAAACACTGTAATTTATGACTTGCTCCAAGGTGTGGCTTTAGAGGAGTGAAAAAGGGAGGGGAGAGGGGAGTCTACCTGGCTAGTTGCTTCAAATGTCAGGACATTAAGAGACTAAATGTGTATTAGCAAAACTAAATGTGTATTAGCAAAACAAAATGTGTATTAGCAAAACTAAATGTGTATCAGCAAAACTAAATGTCTATCAGCAAAAGTAAACGAATATCAGCAAACCAAATGTGTATTAGCAAAAACTAAACGTGTATCAGCAAAACTAAATGTGTATTAGCAAAACAAAATGTGTATTAGCAAAACTAAATGTGTATTAGCAAAACTAAATGTGTATCAGCAAAACTAAACAAATATCAGCAAAGCAAAACGAAATGTGTATAGTAAAAACTAAACGTGTATCAGCAAAACTAAATGTGTATTAGCAAAACTAAATGTGTATCAGCAAAACTAAACAAATATCAGCAAATCAAAACGAAATGTGTATAGTAAAAACTAAACGTCTATCAGCATAACTAAATGTGTATTAGCAAAACAAAATGTGTATTAGCAAAACTAAATATGTATTAGCAAAACTAAATGTGTATCAGTAAAGCTACATGTGTATTAGCAAAACTAAATCTGTTTTAAAATGTCTCCAAGTGTGTATTATTTTATCACCTAGCTATGGCCTACTTAAGACGTTTATTGTTCAACTCTTCATTATAAATGTCTCGACCCCTCCCCCACACAGCCTCCCCCACCCCCTCAACTTTTTAGTGACACGTAAAACGCTTTTTTTCTCCATCCGCCCAGAATTACATTTTTATTTTTACATCAGTATCCAATCCAAGTTCTAGTTGATTGTTCTAATTTTGGTTTGATGTGTTTGGAATTAGTGAAATCTTGTGATAGGGGCTGGTATCACATCTGTACTGCTTGAAAATCTGACGAAAGTAGTCGGTGAATAGCATCATTCGGTTAAAAAGTATTTCAAACGGTAATACCTTTAAAAAACTTTAACAGGAACATTGTACATATAGTACACATTTTAAAATTTAAAGTAAAGTATTACATACAGTATTAACTTTAAAACTTCTACAGGAAAGTATTACATACAGTATTAACTTTTAAAAACGTACACAGTAAAGTTGTACAGTATTAGATTTTATTTAAAACGTTTCAAGTTGAAAAACAGTAAAGGAAAGTAGCCTACTTACAATTACTTACATATAATACATTTAAAAACGTTTTGATATTTTAAATTATCACTCGTGTCATATGCAATAAATTTTATTCGATTAAATCAAATGTTCCCAGCAAAGTTGCTTCCACATTACATGTAGCTCAAAGTTTCTTTCAGGCAACTTATGTATTTGAATGTTTCAGTGACACTGAGAATACGGTATTTTCACAGTGGACGAAACGCTTGCTCAAAACTCTGACAAAAACCAGTAACTCAACAGACAGCCAACAAGGGAGAGCAGTCTAAAGCACTACACTAACTTCAGCTGTTGTGTGTGTTTGATGCAGTAAACACCACACGACTTGCAGACCAGGAACTCAGCCGTTGGTGGCACTCCAAGACTCATAGAGCAGGACTGACGTCTTTGCTTTTGGTTTAAAATTCATCTGATTGCTGACGTCATGATACAGTAGAGCTTTGACACAGTATGCACGTGTATGCTATAGTGTGTCTCTCTGTGTCTCAGTGTCTCTTTACACGTGTGTTATAGTGTGTCTCTGTGTTACACAGTATACACGTATATGCTATAGTGTGTCTCTACATGCTGAAGTCTATCTACACGTGTGTGTTATAGTGTGTCTGTGTTAGTATGCCCGTGTGTGCTATAGTGTGTCTATCTGTGTCTCAGTGTCTCTCTACACGTGTGTGCTATAGTGTCTCTCTACACCTATATGCTATAGTGTGTCTCTACATCCTTATGTCTATCTACACGTGTGTGCTATAGTGTGTCTATCTGTGTCTCAGTGTCTCTCTATACGTGTGTGCTATAGTGTCTCTCTACACGTGTATGCTATAGTGTATCTCTACATCCTTATGTCCATCTACACGTGTATGCTATAGTGTGTCTCTACATGCTGAAGTCTATCTACACGTGTGTGTTATAGTGTGTCTGTGTTAGTATGCCCGTGTGTGCTATAGTGTGTCTATCTGTGTCTCAGTGTCTCTCTACACGTGTGTGCTATAGTGTCTCTCTACACGTGTATGCTATAGTGTATCTCTACATCCTTATGTCCATCTACACGTGTATGCTATAGTGTGTCTCTACGCCCTTATGTCCATCTACAGGTGTATGCTATAGTGTGTCTCTACATCCTTATGTCCATCTACACGTGTATGCTATAGTGTGTCTCTACATCCTTATGTCCATCTACAGGTGTATGCTATAGTGTGTCTCTACATCCTTATGTCCATCTACACGTGTATGCTATAGTGTGTCTCTACATCCTTATGTCCATCTACACGTGTATGCTATAGTGTGTCTCTACATCCTTATGTCCATCTACACGTGTATGCTATAGTGTCTCTCTGTGTCTCTATGTTACACAGTATGGACCTGTATGCTAAAGTGTGTCCCTATGGTATACAGTGTGCATCTGTATGCTATAGTGTGTCACTACAGCCTTATGTCTCTCTGTGTCTCTATGCTACATAGTATGGACATGTATGCTATGGTGTGTCTTTGTGTCTGTGTCTTATCATTTTTTTTTCATTTAATTTTTAACTAAATCCTACAAATCCACTGAAGTAGCATTAATTTAACCCAAATGTAGTACTGTTTCTAGTTAAAGTAACAAGACTGTTTCCCTACCCAGAGCTGAGCCTACCAAACTACGGCTCCTAGAGCTGTACTCCACCAAGCTACGACTCCCAGAGCTGCCCCACCACGCCACGGCTCCGACAGCTGCCCCCAGCAAGCTCCAGCTGGCGAGGTCGTTGAGAAAAGGCTACCTGACCGTCTGCTACAGGAAAATGTTGAGGCGCTGGAGGTCGCCCAAGAAGATTCTCTACGCCGCGGCCATTTTGCTGGTGACCATAGTACTTTACGCTATGACGAGCTCTGATGGTAGGTGGGGGGGGGGTTTAAGGGTGGATGATGAGTGGATTAGGATGGTTGTGAGCGAAAGGATTATGAAACAAATATTTGGGTTATTTTTTATTTTTTTTAAAGGTGCTTTTTATGAAACATGGTTTTAAGGCAGTGTGGATAAAAATGTTTAAACATTAACTGTTTCATAACGTTAACTGTTTCATTACATTTACTGTTACATAACATTAACTGTTACATAACATTAACTGTTACATAACATTAACTGTTACATAACATTAACTGTTACATAACATTAACTGTTACATAACATTAACTGTTACATAACATTAACTGTTTCATTACCTTAACAGCTTCATTGCATTAACTGTTTCATTACATTAACTGTTTCATTACATTAACTGTTTCATTACATTAACTTATATATTACATTAGCTGTTTCATTACATTAACTGTTTCATTACATTAGCTGTTTCATTACATTAACTGTTTTATTACATTAACTGTTTCATTACATTTACAGTTTCATTACATTAGCTGTTTCATTACCTTAACAGTTTCATTGCATTAACTGTTTCATTACTTTAACTGTTTCTTTACATTAACTGTTTCATTACATTAACTGTTTCATTACCTTAACTTTCATTATATTAACTGTTGCATTACTTAAACAGTTTCATTACATTAACTATTTCATTACATTACCTATTTCATTACATTAACTGTTTCATTACATTACCTAATTCATTACATTAACTGTTTTATAACATTACCTATTTCATTACATTAACTGTTTTATTACATTAACTGTTTCATTACATCAACTGTTTCATTACATTAACTGTTTCATTACATTAACTGTTTCATTACATTAACTGTTTCATTTCATTAGCTGTTTCATTACACTAACAGTTTCATTAAATTAACTGTTTCATTCCATTAACTGTTTCATTACATTAACTGTTCCATTACATTAACTGTTTCATTACCTTAACTGTTCCATTACCTTAACTGTTTCATTACATTAACTGTTTCATTACATTAACTGTTTCATTACCTTAACTGTTTCATTACATTAACTGTTTCATTACCTTAACTGTTTCATTACATTAACAATTTCATTACCTTAACTGTTTCATTACATAAACAATTTCATTACCTTAACTCTCATTACATTAATTGTTTCATTACCTCTACTTCTCAACTTTTTCTTTTTCAGAATACGTGGACGAGGTGAACCCTGAATGGGTTTTGCCGCTAGTAGCTCATAATAATGTAAGTACACCTATAACATTACAGATAGGGGAGATTATGCAAAAAAAAATAATGTTCAGGGGCGGTAATAAATTAAAAACGCTTTAAATCATTTTGTGATATAGAATTATCTCGTTTAACAATACTTTCTGTTAAATATATTGTAACTGTTTGTATTTTAATACATTCAAATTTTAAAGTATTTTTTACGAGTATTTTGTTATTTTATTATTTTTTTAATGAAATATACTTTGATTGCAAAACATTATGAAAGTTTAAAAAATAAATATTATATTATTTCATAGCAACTACTATTTAACAATGATCCTGGCGCTTTAAGATGCACTTTTTATTATTTTAATTATTGTTATACATTAGAGCAGGGGTCGGCAACCTGCGGCTAGCGATCCGCATGCGGCTCCTTTGATATCAAGATGCGGCTCTCCAGCTCCTTGAACAAATACTAATAATCTTAATAAAAAAATAAAATATTTGTAATAAAAAAAATGTTAGTGGCTCTTTTAAACCAGGGAAATTTTGAAAATTGTTACTTTTGGCTCTTCCGCTTCAAAAGGTTGCCGACCCCTGCATTAGAGAGAAAAAAAATTAATTATTTTTTTATTTATACGTCTTGTATTAGATCTATGTATAAGACTATAAGTAAACCAACTTAAATGAATGAAAGTAGGCTACAAGTAAGAAAGAAATATTACTATTGTAAATCTGTATCAGTCCTCACAAGCCGGTGATAGAAACTGTAATACTAAAGTGAACACACACAACTGACGCTGTAAATTACATGTTTGAGGCAAAAAAAAAAGAAAAAAAAAATCTCCCCACCCCCCAACCTCCTTACTCAATCCTGCAACTTTGAGCTTCTTGTTGCCTACTAGAATCCCATTAGATTGAAGTAGTTCCAACTTTTTATTTCACCTGACAGTACCGCGTGAATCCAGTGCTACAGGAACCCCTGCAGCGCCTCCCCCTGGGGCCGTTTGAAGACGTGCCGGTGCTCGTGGACGGGGAGCCGCCCAGTAACAATGCCGCGGGGGCGCCAGGGGGCGGAGACAGCGCTGCGGCACCCAAGCCCGCGGCCCCGGCGTTGGGATCTCCAGGGGCCGCTCCCTCAATGGGAGCTGGAGCCCCTGCTCTTGGAGCTGCCGCACCCGCTTTAGGAGCTGGAGCGCCTGTTTTAGGAGCCGGAGCACCCGCTGTCGAAGCTGGAGTACCTGCTGCAGGCGCACCTGTAGCAGGTGCACCTGCAGTAGGAAATGGGGCACCAGTTTTAGGAGCTGGTGCACCTCCTGTAGGAGTGGGACAAGGTGCGCCGGCTCCTGTTGTGGCAGGGGCCCCGGCTGCCGTTTTCCAGAATGCCCTTTTTCCTCCCGCGCCGGTTCCACAGTTTCAAATAGTACCAGACGCGGCAGTCCTGGGATCAAATCCAGCTGCTGCCCCAGTAGTTCCGGCACCACAAGCTCCGGCAGCATCGGGCCCTCTAGCCCAACCGGTTCCGGCAGCGTTCGTCCCACTAGCCCAACCGGTTCCGGCAGCGTTCGTCCCGCAAGCCCAACCGGCCGTACCTGCAGTCGGTGCAGCTGTGCCCGGCGCCCTTCCTCAAGCAGGCGCAGCACCGGCTCCCCAGCTACAGCCGGGTCAACCAGCTCCAGCCGCACCTGCTGTTGCCCCGGCTCCAGTACCCATACAACCCGCAGCCGCACCGGCCCAAAACCCCGGACCCCCCGCCCCCCAACCCGCAGCCAAACCCCTCCCAGACTTTGCTAAAATCACCACCGAGATGAGCCGGCGCCTAGCCTACACGCGAGGGGAGTGCGAGAAGTTCAAAGTCCCGAACAACGTAGAAACGGAAGTCTACGTCCTGCCGCAGCTCAACATTTCCTACTGTAAGATCCCCAAGGCCGGCTGCACCTATTGGGAGCAGGTCTTCTCCTACCTCAACAAAAACCCATCAGAGCTCACCTACCTGGGCATCAGCTCGCCCTTCCAGATCTCCAAGTTCGACATCCGCTACACCAGCCACTTCAACCTGCCGCGGCGGGACTTCAAGACACCGGAACACCAGCAGGAGATTGTCAAGACGACGCGGGTGCTGTTCGTGCGGCACCCACTAGAGAGGTTGTGGAGCTGCTACCTAGAGAAGTTCTACCTCATCGACTTCTGGACGACCGCGGGCATCACGATGAAGACGGCGGGGGCGGAGAACAAGTGTCCAAAGTCGATTACATTCAGGTAATTTTTCGATTACATTCTGGTAATTTTTCGATTACATTCAGGTAATTTTTCGGTTACATTCAGGTAATTTTTCGATTACATTCAGGTAATTTTTCGATTACATTCAGGTAATTTTTCGATTACATTCAGGTAGTTTTTCGATTACATTCAGGTAATTTTTCGATTACATTCTGGTGATTTTTCGATTACATTCTGGGGATTTTTCGGTTACATTCAGGTAATTTTTCGATTACATTCAGGTAATTTTTCGATTATATTCTGGTGATTTTTCGATTACATTCTGGTGATTTTTCGATTACATTCAGGTAATTTTTCGATTACATTCAGGTAATTTTTCGATTACATTCAGGTAATTTTTCGATTACATTCAGGTAATTTTGCGATTTCGTTTAGGTAATTTTATAATCGGTAACATTTTCTTGTACATTCATTTAGATGGGTTCTATTTATAGACACCATAGATTCTACCCCCACCCCCACCCCTCCCGCTTCCCCACCTCGTAATTTGAAAACCAGTTTGTTGAGCTAACGTTTACCTATAATCGTCCCATCATTTTTTCAAGCCATGTGGGATGTCTTCATGACAATAGTTTTTAGATTATCTAGTCTGACTGTCTGTACGTGTTGCGCTAGACTGACTCTGACTCTATCGAGTCTATAGATAGCAAATATTTTTAACTCACAACTAACCAGGATAAGTTGTAATGCAGTTGGTGTAATTCTACCTGTGTTATTATTGTTTATAATTTTGCCGTGATCATATTATGTATTTATACGTCATTACTGATGTTTTGACCTTAGCCTTGATCATGTGACCTGTTCATACATCCTAATCACGTGACCTCTTTATACATCATTACTGATGTTTTGACCCTAACCCTGATTATGTGACCTGCTTATATGTGATTTGTGATATGTTTATCCTTGCCATGATCACGTGACTAGTGTATACGTCATTATCGATGTTTTAACCCTTACCCTAATCACGTGACCTGTTTGACCCCAGAGAGTTCATCGAGTTCACGCTCCCCCTGCTGAACGAGCACTGGTCCCCCATCACTGAGCTGTGCAACCCCTGCGTCTACCAGCCCCACGTGATCGGTCACGTGGAGACCTTGAGGGACGACACCTACTACACGCTCAAACAGGTGACAACACCCATACTTTTTAGACTTCTACGTGTTAGCTTTAAACTAGCAGCATACCCCGACAAAAAGATCCCGACAAAAAGGTGCCGATATATTAACCCTCGACTTACGTACAGGTCAAAATAGCCTGATAAAAGAGTTCCCGTCAAAAAGAATAATTGACAATTGTGTTCTCGACAAAATGTCTCACAATAAAAAGGCGTATGACTATATGATCCAAGATAAAAACGGCCCCAGTCTTTATGGCTCCAGACAAAATGACTCATGTCATTAATAAGCCCGACAAAAAAAGTGCACATTAACGGGAGCAATCTTACTAGGTTTTTTTTTTTTTTTTTACATCTAACCCCGACTAGTACCATGTTGTTGATTTTTCTTCAGTATGACGCGAGTCTCCTAATGCTGCGCTATAATCATTGATTTTCTCGAGCCAACTTTCTATTGTTGTTGATTTCCCCGTGTCCCTAACCTTGCCGCCCCATGTTGCCGTCTCTCTACGTCACAACCCAGCACGATCGTGGTTCTGTGTGGCTCTCGATATTGTCTAGGTGGTTTTATTGTTAGATCTAACGTACATATACAGTTTACATATGTAGCATGTAGCTACCTATAGCATGTAGCGACCTATAGCTTTAATTTTAATCACAGTTTATATGTGTAGTATTTAGTGACCTGATATGTTTGTAGGTGCAGTTAAATACAGTCCTTAAGTATTACAGATTATTATACATGTAGCCTAATGTGTCGGCTACTTGTACCCCAATGAGTCTCTACCATGTCGCTACGTGTAGCCTGTGTCTGTAGTATGTCGCCACCTGTCGTCTAATGTGTCGCTACCTGTAGCATGTCGCTATCTGTACCATGTGCCTGTAGCATGTCGCAACATGTAGCCTAATGTGTCTGTAGCATGTCGCCACCTGTAGCCTAATGTACCTGTAGCATGTCGCTACCTGTGTAACTTGTCGCTACCTGTAGCCTGTGCACGTAGCATGTCGCTACCTGTAGCCTAATGTGTCTGTAGCATGTCGCTACCTGTGTAGCTTGTCGCTACCTGTAGCCTGTGCACGTAGCATGTCGCTACCTGTAGCCTAATCTGTCTGTAGCATGTCGCTACCTGTAGCCTAATGTGTCGCTACCTGTAGCCTAATGTGTCTGTAGCATGTCGCTACCTGTAGCCTAATGTACCTGTAGCATGTCGCTACCTGTGTAGCTTGTCGCTACCTGTAGTCTGTGCACGTAGCATGTCGCTACCTGTAGCCTAATGTGTCTGTAGCATGTCGCTACCTGTAGCCTAATGTGTCGCTACCTGTAGCCTGTGCACGTAGCATGTCGCTACCTGTAGCCTAATGTGTCGCTACCTGTAGCCTGTGCACGTAGCATGTCGCTACCTGTAGCCTAATGTGTCGCTACCTGTAGCCTGTGCACGTAGCATGTCGCTACCTGTAGCCTAATGTGTCGCTACCTGTAGCTTGTGCACGTAGCATGTCGCTACCTGTAGCCTAATGTGTCGCTACCTGTAGCTTGTGCACGTAGCATGTCGCTACCTGTAGCCTAATGTGTCGCTACCTGTAGCCTGTGCACGTAGCATGTCGCTACCTGTAGCCTAATGTGTCGCTACCTGTAGCCTGTGCATGTAGCATGTCGCTACCTGTAGCCTAATGTGTCGCTACCTGTAGCCTGTGCATGTAGCATGTCGCTACCTGTAGCCTAATGTGTCGCTACCTGTAGCCTGTGCATGTAGCATGTCGCTACCTGTAGCCTAATGTGTCGCTACCTGTAGCCTGTGCATGTAGCATGTCGCTACCTGTAGCCTGTGCATGTAGCATGTCGCTACCTGTAGCCTAATATGCCCGTAGATGCAGCTCGACTGGATCTTCAGCGAACAAGAACGTCTGTCACGTGAGGAGAACCAGATGCTGGACATGGTCATCTACAACTACCAGATCCACAGCATCCACTGGTACAGCTTCTACCATAGGTGTCTCTCACAGCGGGAACTGGCCAGCAGGTGGGTACAGCTTCTACCATAGGTGTCTCTCACAGCGGGAACTGGCCAGCAGGTGGGTACAGCTTCTACCATAGGTGTCTCTCACAGCGTGAGCTAGCGAGCAGGTGGGTACAGCTTCTACCATAGGTGTCTCTCACAGCGTGAACTGGCCAGCAGGTGGGTACAGCTTCTACCACAGGTGGGTACAGCTTCTACCATAGGTGTCTCTCTCAGCGGGAACTGGCCAGCAGGTGGGTACAGCTTCTACCATAGGTGTCTCTCACAGCGTGAGCTGGCCAGCAGGTGGGTACAGCTTCTACCATAGGTGTCTCTCACAGCGTGAGCTGGCCAGCAGGTGGGTACAGCTTCTACCACAGGTGGGTACAGCTTCTACCACAGGTGGGTACAGCTTCTACCACAGGTGTCTCTCACAGCGTGAGCTGGCCAGCAGGTGGGTACAGCTTCTACCATAGGTGTCTCTCACAGCGTGAGCTAGCCAGCAGGTGGGTACAGCTTCTACCATAGGTGTCTCTCACAGCGTGAGCTGGCCAGCAGGTGGGTACAGCTTCTACCACAGGTGGGTACAGCTTCTACCACAGGTGGGTACAGCTTCTACCACAGGTGTCTCTCACAGCGTGAGCTGGCCAGCAGGTGGGTACAGCTTCTACCACAGGTGGGTACAGATTCTACCACAGGTGGGTACAGCTTCTACCACAGGTGTCTCTCACAGCGTGAGCTGGCCAGCAGGTGGGTACAGCTTCTACCACAGGTGGGTACAGCTACCACAGGTGGGTACAGCTTCTACCACAGGTGTCTCTCACAGCGTGAGCTGGCCAGCAGGTGGGTACAGCTTCTACCACAGGTGGGTACAGCTTCTACCACAGGTGGGTACAGCTTCTACCACAGGTGTCTCTCACAGCGTGAGCTGGCCAGCAGGTGGGTACAGCTTCTACCACAGGTGGGTACAGCTACCACAGGTGGGTACAGCTTCTACCATAGGTGTCTCTCACAGCGTGAGCTGGCCAGCAGGTGGGTACAGCTTCTAGCGCAGGTGGGTACAGCTTCTAGCGCAGGTGGGTACAGCTTCTACCACAGGTGGGTACAGCTTCTATCACAGGTGGGTACAGCTTCTAGCGCAGGTGGGTACAGCTTCTACCACAGGTGGGTACAGCTTCTATCACAGGTGGGTACAGCTTCTAGCACAGGTGGGTACAGCTTCTACCACAGGTGGGTACAGCTTCTACCACAGGTGGGTACAGCTTCTATCACAGGTGGGTACAGCTTCTAGCACAGGTGGGTACAGCTTCTACCACAGGTGGGTACAGCTTCTACCACAGGTGGGTACAGCTTCTATCACAGGTGGGTACAGCTTCTAGCACAGGTGGGTACAGCTTCCATACAGGTGGGTACAGCTTCTACCACAGGTGGGTACAGCTTCTACCACAGGTGGGTACCGCTTCTACCAAGGTGGGTACAGCTTCTATCACAGGTGGGTACAGCTTCTACCATAGGTGGGTACAGCTTCTACTACAGGTGGGTACAGCTTCTAGCACAGGTGGGTACAGCTTCTAGCACAGGTGGGTACAGCTATACAGGTGGGTACAGCTTCTACTACAGGTGGGTACAGCTTCTAGCACAGGTGGGTACAGCTTCTACCACAGGTGGGTACAGCTTCTACCACAGGTATGTACAGCTTCTACCACAGGTGGGTACAGCTATACAGGTGGGTACAGCTATACAGGTGGGTACAGCTTCTAGCGCAGGTGGCTACAGCTTCTAGTCCAGGTGGGTACAGCTTCTAGCACATTATCAGCGCAGCTTATTCATAAAATCGCATACATATTTAGCGTCCAATGCTTTTTAAAAATAAAGCATGTTTTTATTTCCTGTGCATTTAAAAGCTTAATATTTAAAAGTGGTTTTTTTTTAATATATTTTTTTTATTCACAAGCATTAAAATTAAAAAAAAAAAACACAGTATTTATTAGTAAGGTTATGAATGTCTATTCCTGAAGCGACGAAAAAAAAAATTAGCAGAGCGTGGTTTCGATCCACGGACCTCTGGGTTATGGGCCCAGCACGCTTCCACTGCGCCACTCTGCTACTATGAAAAATTACTGTTTTGTAATATTTATTATACTTAAGGTTCTTCGCTGTTCGAATGTAATCATTGTCATTGTAATCCTATTTTCAGATTGTGGGACGTCTTTAAAAAAGTCGGGTACCTCTCCTCCCACGCCGCCCTACCGGACAACCTACCGGACTACAACCAGACGACCATCATCCGGGAACTCAAGTCCCAGTTCCGGAAGTTCCCGCTGAGCCCCTCCAACGGGCGCGCCCAGCAGCTGAAGATGATACGGCGAGACTTTGACGCCCTGCCCAAGCCCATCCTGGCCAAGGTGCTGGAGCGGTACGCCATGGACTTCCAGCTCTTCGGCTACAATACGTCACTTCCGGCGTCTTAACTTTAGAACCTTCTAGTCCAAAGTTTATTTAATTCGTGTATATGTGTGTGTATGTGTGTGTGCTGTCATTAGCTGGCACTTGTTTGATTGTCTTTGATTGACATTTTTAATAATGATAAATTGTGGGCGTCGTTTCCAGGGTATCCAGTGTTTGTTTCTTTGCAGCGTCTCTCGGGGGGGGGGGGGATACTGTCTTCCCCAGGAGCACGTCCACACCCACGAGACGAAATAGAAAAAACTATAATTTATATAAAATATATAGTGTAACCAGTGTGTCGTCGTCGTCCCGCACCCCCCCCCCCCCCACATGAAGTTTAAAGCGACCCCCACCCCCCACCCACCCTGAGATAATTGTCTTAAAGCAACCGTAGTTGTAGTTGGGGTGTACACACCTCCTAACAGTCGAAGTTGAAGACGGGCGTAAATTGGTAAAACTTTAAATGTATGCATCTGTAAATCTGTAGCAGAATGAATTGAATAGAACTGTATCATTTTAATAAGTCCTAGGACACAGACACCCCTTCACCTGAATGGCTATATGTATATGAGAATAAATGAAGACCGTATGTTGTGTTACAGCGTACTGAGCATGTAGGTTATAATGTAAGAATTGAGAAAAACTTTGTTAAAGTCTTGAATCATCATCTTTTCCCTTGTGCTGCCGGGCATATTGAGCCGACTAAGAAAGCTCTTTCCTCTTTTTGCCTGTCTCTGGCAATTTTCTTGGAATACTTGAACATACTTACATACTTACAAATAAAATTCGTCGGTTCGTTTCGGGGTTTGCAAAGATAATCTATTAATGTTATCATTTTCATCTTTAGAGAAATATTACATCAAAATCCTTCTGTGTTCTGTATATCTAGTGTGTGTACATTGTTTGGGGACTAGAAGTGTGAGTGTGTGAGCGTGTCATGTTAGTGTCATATGTCAGTTTGACAGGTGAGCATTGGAGCAATGTGTGTCAGTGTCATGTCAGAATATCCTGCCAGTATGACGTGTCATTGTTTCATGTCAGTGTGTGGCGTCAGTGCCTTATATAATAATGTTATTGTGTCCTTTCAACACTGTGTAGGTAGGCCTTATATCAGTGAGCCGGCTCGACAATGTTTACAAGTCCATCAAGTTGATTCCCCAGCCCTTTATATGAGTGTTCTAGGCTCCGTTGTTTTGCTCCACTTTATAGGCTACTCTATCAATAGAACAAACTACCTATTAGGCAAAATGTCTGTGTATAAACTTCGTGCAATGAAGTAATCATTGAAATTGTGGCTGTTACTTTTGTCGATTTTTTAAAGAAAATAAAGTGAACATTCCCCAGTCCGTAAGAAAAATGTTCTAGGCTATCGTGTGTCGCTACTCCACTTTGGTGTTAAATTACCCTCTGATGTGACCTAAACCACATTCCTTGTTAGGTCAAATGTGTGTAACAAAATACAGCCCATGACGATACAGCTAAAATCTTACAAAACACGATAGGATTTCATTTCTTCTGCATGTAGCTTTACGTGACATGCATTGTTATAAAAGGAATATTGGCATTTGAGTCTAGCCCAACAAAATTCTAATTAAACTATTTAAACTTCATGCGATATATTTAAATAGAATATGGTTTTTATTTTTCATTGGTTTCAGACTAATCAGAGTAAATAAATATTTACTTTTTGATTATGTTGTTTTAGTTTTTTTGTTTTCTGTGGGTTTTTTGTTGTTGCATATTTTGGGTTTTTTTTTTTTTGATGTTTTTTGTTGGGTTTTTTACCGAACTTTGCATGACATGTGATGAGTTTTTGTGGTGACATAGTTGAGTGCTAGAATTGTATGTATGTCATCGATTGTGTTTTGTGACGTCATAGATTCTGTGTTTTCTGACGTCATAGATTCTGTGTTTTCTGACGTCATAGATTATATGTTTTGTGACGTCATATATTATGTGTTTTCTGACGTCATAGATTATGTGTTTTGTGACGTCATAATTTCTGTGTTTTTCTGGCGTCATAGATTCTGTGTTTTCTGACGTCATAGATTATGTGTTTTGTGACGTCATAATTTCTGTGTTTTGTGACGTCATAGATTCTGTGTTTTATGACGTAGTGCAAAGACCCATCCAGCAGGCGGACCTACCTTGTACAGATAATTAATTGCGGGTCATTATTCACCTTGATGAAAACAAAGGTACAACAAAGCTCATTGGCCAGACGTTTAATTTTCTCACCTGAGAGATTCACCTGTCTCTTCCCCCCCCCCCCCCCTGCAAATGTCTTTAATTGACAAGGATTTACCCTGGCCCCAGGCTCATTAACTTCTGTGCTGGATCCTGTTGGATACACATAAGACAATCAGGTACAACACATCAGCCTAACAACTGTTGGATGTGTTGTTGTGACGGGTAGATATTTCAACGATTGTGTTCGACAACATCAACAGTTACCACTGTATCATTGTGTGCTAGATAAAACGTCAATTAACGAATTCACTGGGAGGAGTTGAATGATCTAACACTGACTTAACTGTTGACTCAAGCTCAGGTAAGACAATAGATGGAGAGCTCAGGTAAGACAATAGATGGAAGATTTAACGGTTCATTACATATGTAGTTGGATAGCGTGACGTCTTGTAAACGGTTTGTGGTCAAATCTAGCCGTACAAGATAAATTCAAACCCAATCATTGCGATATCCTCCTATAGTGCCATACAGTGTTATTTGGTTCAGTAGTTTCATGGCAGCTGCTTTCTCTTAAATATTTGTGTCGTCAACCCGCGGATCCAGAGCCGTATGTCGCTCTTTAAGTGGCCGAATGTGGCTCTGTTTGTTAACTCTTTAAGTGGCTGAATTTGGCTCTGTTTTTGTCTCTGTTTGTGGGCTTTTGAAGTGGCGAATGTGGCTCTGTTTGTTAACTCTTAAAATTGCTGAATTGGGCTCTGTTTGTCAGCTGTTACAACGTCTTAACAAAACTATCGTGACAAAATGTATAACATACATTTGTTTCCGTGAAGTATCTGCAGTTTAAGATATTTTTTTTCATTCCTAAATAACTAATGGGAAGATATTTTTAGCCCATGGCTCGTCCTTCTAACAATGTTTGTTGGCACGTCTAGTGGGCACGTTGTCAGTGTTTCTTCCAGACTTTTTTCTCCGGGGGTGCACTTGAAATTTTCGGGCGAGGCGGACAACAATTTTCGGGGAGGGGGGGGGCGGTAGACTTTCTCCGGGGAGGGGGGCGGGGCGGTGCCCCCCGAAGAGATGCCTGGAAGAAACTCTGCACGTTGTGCTGGCTGTTGTCATGTTGTATTTGCTGTAACTAGTAAAACAGTCGAACTCTACCTCATCTGCATTAAAAGACACCCACAACATAACTTTTTACTTTCTCCGAGATTACTTTCTATTTGTAAGCAACTGTTTGACTTTACCTTGAGAATAGACTGTAATTGAATAATACATTTCACAATACTATAGCATTATTTTAGACCCAATGTAAAGCCATAGTAAGCCTTTAATAATCTTATAATAGCCAACGTCAAACCTCAACAAAACCCCTGACAAACCTGCTTTCGCCCGCACTTCACTTGATCCCATCTCAGATTGTATCACGTCTAGCTACACACGGAATTTTTACTTCAGCCCATGGTGGGGGGGGGGGGAAGAGAGAGACGTTAAATTATTGTTATGTAGGTCACGTGTCTTATAGCCAGAGGGGCGTGTCTCCCTTGTGCTGACGTCATGGTATAGTTTTAAAAATGTGCACTATTGTCCAATACAGGGTTATAACTTAACAACACATACATGAAGAGTGGCGATAAAAACAGCGCTCAGACACGATAAAACATGTTCAAACCTTAGGAATTCTCAGATTTCAGAATACATAAACAGTTGATAGAACATTATTGTTTGCAATACAGAAGAGAAAAACAAATCTTTTAGTTGTTTGAATATCTCAGCTTGTTTGCTTGATAAGGGTTGTGATTATGGGATATAAGTTGTGATTATGGGGTATAATTTGTGATTATGAGATATATGTTGTGATTTTGTGATATATGTTGTCATTATTTGAAATATGTTGTGATTAATAATTTTCATTTATTATATAAGTTGTGATCAGTGGCGGAACTAGAAAAGAAGGGCCACCCCGCAAAAAAAATTCTGGGCCCCTATATATATATATATATATATATATATATATATATATATATATATATATATATATATATATATATATATATATATATATATATATATATATATACATATATATATATATATATATATATATATATATATATATATATATATATATATATATATATATATATATATATATATATATATATATATATATATATATATAAACACAGAATACGAACATAGTATATCATTTCTGGTCTGATCGGGTTTTGAACAAAAAGTCTGTTGTTTTTTTTTTAATTAAAAGATATTAAATCAGTACCGTTGTAGATCTGTTTGTTATTTCAAAATAGGGGGGTGGGGTATCTGGCTTTTTGTGAAGATGTGTGATGGGGGGGGGGGTAAAGATCGTCAAAAAAGCGTGACGTCTTTTAATGGATAACCCCAAAACAAAAATAAGTAAACGTACATACGACCGATATCTCTCGAGTCTCGAGTGCAAACCCCCTGGCAGAAAAGACTCGATCCTTTCCAACACCAATAATTAAGAACGAAGAAGAAGAAGAACAACCAAAATTATTGTTATTATATACTTTGTGATTATTTGTAGAGTATAGAATAATACAAAAAAGTATATTTTACATTGTAAAATCACAATTGATAGTGGGCCCATAACCAACCCTATAAAGAAACAAAAGTCATCTAAATATCTAGCGGCCTCTTTCAAAAGAATTTTGCCGACAACAGCGTGTGTATTATTGTAAGAGAAAGACAATCTAACCGCAGCTACAGTATTCTTTTTACAAAACAACCATCCAGTCAAAAATGCAAGAAAATTTATTTTTTTTTTACTATAAAAAAATGTACTATGGTCGGCTCTGGGCCCCTAATTGGCGTGCCCCCCCCCCCCCCGCATTGCGGGGTCTGGCGGCACTGTAGTTCCGCCCCTGGTTGTGATTATGTGATATAACTTGTGATTGAGTAATGATTATTAAATTGTGTGACGATTCTTAATCTTCCACCAATATTCACACGTCATATTTGTTACGTGTTTAAATCTGTGAAATAATAAATGCTTTAATAAAAAGATTAGAGAAACCTATTATGTCTTGCAGAGTGTATAGTCCATGAAGATACAAAATTTCCTAACTCCAACACTTGCTATAAAACCTAACAGTCACGATATAACTATCCCTAACCCAAACTCCATTTACCAATTCGTACTAATATCAACGCCTGTTCTGATCAAATGTTTACAGCGTCCATATTGCGTCTACCCTGTTCAGAGTCAGTGCAAGAAAGTTATGACGCTGGCGTCATCTATAGTGGTGGCTTTAATTAGTCTGATCCACACCGCTAAAAGTAAGTTACAAGTCAATCCTAATTAATGCTCGAGGGTTTAAATTCAAATGTTGCAACACAAGTGTTTTCTTTATCAGGGAGAAAACAATATCGAGGAAACAAAACATCCCGACAAAAATACCCCTACATATTGTCCCCAGACAAAAAGATCGAGTCAAAATGGCCCCGATAACAGGGCTTCCTACAAAAGGGCTAACGAAAGTGTAGATAACATAAAGAATACGACAAAAAGGCTCTTGATAATTTGGCGAACGATATGCCTATATTGGCCCCCGATTTAATGACTATACAATTTGGCTCTAGACAATAGGGTCCACGACAACTTACGACAACTGTTAACTCGCAATATTTTTTTAAATGCCTTAGTGGGTCACGGAAGCGTTGTATGTTGCTAAATTGACGGGGTTCACACACATGTTAACTAACACATGTTAATTAAAGCTATGTTAATTAAATACATGTTCTTTAACGCATGTTAATTAAAGATATGTTATTTAAATACATGTTAATTGACTTATGCCCCCCCCCCCCCTCGTGTCAGTTGATGCAGGTTTGACCTGCCTGGCGTGCTCCTACACGTTTGCTGGAGAAGACGGCAGCACGGACCTCCAGTGTGTCACAGATGTGTACAACTTCACGCGTACATTCCACGTCTCGTGTACACACGTGTGTGTCACTAAAACAGTTTATACCAGAGGTTAGTGAGGTTAAGTCGGGAGCTTAAAGTAGGAGCTTAAACTAAGGGGTTAAAATATGGGGATAAAATAGGTGGTTAAAATAGCAAGTTTCGACATGACAATGTGGAGAGTTTTGCCGTGTTAATATATAAGAATATTCGAGAAGTTTAGGGGAGATCACTGCCACTTTAATTCTTTTGTGCTTCTTTCTGTGATTTTTTTTCAAACAAAACCTGCGACTTGATTTCCAAATTTTGTTTCTCCTGTAACTGTTTTTCTGTTCACCCACAATCTTCCATTTCTCCACATGTAACATCGTTCAGACATTTTTCTGGAGTGGGAGCCGACACTGGTATAATTATATATTTTCTATATAAAATATAAATGTTCTTTATATTGTCCGGGGGTAGGCGTGGGCGTGCTCCACACACACACCCTGAGAGATTCTTAAAAGAAAAAATGGAATGGATAAAGTTAGCTAGTTCTATACCTTTCTATCTAGAGTATGGGCAGTATTTCTTTAAGACTCTTTTCTCGGGGGGGGGGGGGGGCACTTGACATTTTCGGGGGGGGGGGGATGGCGGCCTCGATTAAAAGTATATATTTTCTATATAAATTCCATTTCGTTCGGGGGACGGTAGACTCTCACTAACCCTAACCCCGAAGAGATGTCTGGAAGAAACACCGAGTATGGGCATCCAACTACAGCTCTCTTCTTCTCTATCCAGCTAAACTATGGGCCGCCATCTAATAAAGGGTGGGGGGGGGGGGGGGGGGTTCTAAAAATGTTAGATACCAAAGAATGGTGGGTTTTTTATTTTTTAGAAATATACAAGGGTAGGGGCGGGTAATAATAGTCTATGTGTGTTATTTGATATAGCACAAGCTAGAGACCCTACGGCGCTCTGACTCTAATCCTAAGTAAGGTGCAAGAAACAGAACCTAACGTGTATCTGGGTCAGTGGGGTGTAAGTCATGTGACCTTGTCGAACACTTTTACCACAGGTAGCCTACATATACTTGATGGTATGGTTACAATATATTTTGTCATGCTTGTTTAAAATAATAAACCATAATTTAAAATAAAATTTTAAAACATTTCAAACTTTTATAACAGCAAGCTTTTAAATGCACTGAAAAGAAAAATAAACCGGGAGTGATATCCCCTAAACTTTCTCGAATATTCTTATCTAAAACAACAGGGGATGGGAACTAGGGATATAGACATGATTTTTAATCCAATTTAAATACTTAAACTTTTTAAAATAGAATAAAATCTCGTGTAAAAAGAATTGCACATTAATTGAACGCCAAATAAAGATGGGCATAATAGTGCGCAATATTATTAGTACTTTATAAATTTACATGCGTTTTTTGAGAAATTGGAAATAGCGTAAATTAGTACTTCCGATCAACGGAAATTACTCAAAATTTTACAGAAGGTAGAGAATTAGATCTTTTACTTACATGTGAAATTTTATTTATCTATCTGAAATAGTACTCAAGTTATAGGCTTTTGAAAAATTCAAAGTTGAAAAAGATCCACTTCCGGTTATCGGAAATCGCTCAAAAGTTGATACGGATCTTCGATTTTGATAAAATACTTGTATATGAAATTTTATCAACCTTGCTGTAACGGTACTCAAGTTATCGTGTTTACACACACACACACACACACACAAACACTCACTCACACAGACACACAGACATACGGACAAGATTGCAAAACTATGTTTTTCTGTATCAGTGAGGTGTAAAACGTCGAGATTTGCAAAAATCTCGATTTTTTTTTTCTTTTTGCACGATTACAAGACTTTCTCTATACTTTGTATATACGAGAAAGTAAAAAAACAAGTTAATTAAAAAGTCTAGTGACAATTTTAGCGCAATTTCCTTATGTTATCTAAAAATAGCTCTGTCGAAGCGTAAATGAAGAGCAGGGTTAGTAAAATCATTGGTTAGTTATTAAAGCGTTTTTTTTTTTTTGTTTTTTTTTCAGTATTTTACATGTTTTATTTACAATAGAGTTACATGACTAAAAACCATTGCGCGCCTACTGAACGTGATGACGCAGCCATTGAACGTGATGGCGCAGCTATTGAACGTGATGACGCGTGTGGTGTGGTTGGAAAAAATGCCTACTAATTCGGTCCAAATTTTAATTAATTCAAAAAAAAATTTGTGACCGAACGAAAGGATATTTTTGAAAACTTTCTTCGGCAATATTGTTCTAAATTATGGCAGGAATCGATTGGTACATGTTTGAAGTCGCTAAGTTGTCAGGTTGCCGAGATATGGGCCAAAAACTGAATTTTGTCGAGGTTTTTTGGCTTTTCCGGGAAATACATGAAAGAAACCCGGATTTTTTATGGCCTATGCTCATTCTCGTAACTTGCTTAACATAAATGCTTTTGGAACTAGTCATCGATATTGCTTCGTTGAGGAAGAGATACGACTTAAAGCCCGGACACACATTCATCCATACATTCATTCATCCATTCATTCATCCATCCATTCCCAGAAATGACGAGTTAATAAACGCAATTCTCCAGAATGGAAATTGCGCCAAAAAATTGATGGTTAAAACAGGTCAGAGATCTTACGAGCGACCAAAGCTTTGATTAAAGAAAGCAAGTTTTTTTTTTTTTTTTTTTTTTTTTCGGTGCATTTAAAAACTTATTATTATAAAGGTATTTTTAATATATTTCTTTAATTTTTTACTAATTAGTAATTTGTTCCCAATGAAGTCAACAGTAAATACGGCTAAAAATATTTGCTCTAAAACTCAATCAGTAACTTGCCATGTCTGAAAGTGAAAGACAATCATCTTCCTGTTCTTAGTCCACAGTCGACTCTCAGTTGAGATAGCAGCCAGTTTTTACCAGTTCATCGCTAGTTTAATTACTTTTATCTCCCCTTTTGTTATTGAATTTAGTGAATTTTTAAAGTATAGTGCACTGAGGAACCTAATTGTCTAATTTCGTTAAATAAAATAGATATTTTTGTATTGTCATGGGAGATAATTGTATCTTAACAATGTTAATGAAATTGCTGCATTATAGGGCTGGTAAGTAGGTCACCAACCAGTTCTATGGCTCATGCAGGTTTTATTTAGCCGTAAAACTGGTTGGTGACCTACTGACCAGCCCTATTAGTGGGTTAAAATTGAGTTACAAGATTTTCCACTAACCCATAAACAAGACAGTCAGACACTATGAACAAAATAAAAGCTTTTCTATGAATGAGTTTAAAACGAAACCAATCTTAGCCCTCCATCTTGCCCCAGATTACAAGCGCATCAACTCGATAGCCCGGGGGTGTGGGTTCGAAGAGGTCAACAAGTGCGACCTGCCGGACAGCGTGTACCCCACCTGTGAGGTGTCCTGCAAGTCACGTGACGCCTGCAATGACCAGTCAGGTGACCTGTGGTCCATGATGGGGGACCCTGGGAACGGTTCACCTGAAACCTCCGTCTCTGCCGTCACCTGGGTCTTGTTACACCTGGCTGTGTTGTGTAAGACGATGACGTCAGAATAAACTCATAATTGTTGTTAATCATTTCTTGTTTTGATTTCCTCATTCCTGAGCTGTGTTATGTGCACTGATAGATGTGATATGTGCACTGAGAGATGTGTATAGAGATATGATATGTGAAGATAGATGTGATATGTGCACTGAGAGATGTGTATAGAGATATGATATGTGAAGAGAGATGTGTTATGTGCACTGAGAGATGTGTAGAGAGATGTGATATATGCAGAGAGATGTAATATGTGCAGAGAGATGTGATACGTGCACTGAGAGATGTGATATGTGCAGAGAGATGTATTATTTGCAGAGAGATGTGATATATGCAGAGAGATGTGATATGTGCAGAGAGATGTATTATGTGCACTGAGAGATGTGTAGAGATTGGCGGATTCGTACAAAAAAGCTTTGAGTCTGAAGTTTTGTTTTAGATGTGTCATGTTTCGAAACTAAAACACTTTACATTTAGGCAAGTAGGTCAGTAGCTAAAAACCATGCCAATCATATCTATGTAGTATATCTGTAAGCACATATGATCGGTGTGGCCAGACCCATCCCGGCGCCCGGGCACAAGCTGTCCCCCACCCTCGGGGGCAACCTTTCAATTTAATTGTCAAACTTTCGATTTGCACCCGCCCCCCCCCCCCCTTATATTTTTTATATTTATAATGCAAAAATGCAGCTAAAATGAAACTTTAATTTGTTTATCAAACTCATTTAGGCGCCCCCCTGAGGTCGGCGCCCGGGGACATATGCACCCCCCCCTCCCGGCCCCCCCTTCGCTACGTCTCTGGATGTGGGTTAAACAAACCCTAGTTATCGTTGTAATTGGCTTGTCAAATTGTAATGGCAGTATGGAGGAGAAATAGAACAAGACAACACCTGATATAGGTGGGGTGGCATTAATATACACAACTAATTTAGGGTGGCATTAATATACACAACTAATTTAGGGTGGCATTAATATACACAACTGAATTAGGGTGGCATTAATATACACAACTGAATTAGGGTGGCATTAATATACACAACTGAATTAGGGTGGCATTTTTATACACAACTGATTTAGGGTGGCATTTTTATACACACAACTTACGTGGCATTATTTTACACAACTGATGTGGGGTGGCATTAATAAAGACACACTTATGCCAGGTCATAGAAACAGCTGAACTCTACTTTATTTGTCCCATGGACCGCCATGTTTTCTTTTCTATTTTGGCTCTAGTTGAGGTGAACGTGAAGCCTCTCACAAATTTAAATTGGCTCAATGTTTGTGTGACGTAAAACCTCTGAGAAAACTTTTTTAGCAAATTAACGTAACCTTAGAAGTTCCCATGAAAACATGTTTGAAACATAAAACCTAGTTTGGCCTGAATACTAAACATAAAACCTTACAATGGTTTGGCCTGAAAATAAAATCTCAAACTCTGTAGCCGGGGGGGGGGGGGGGGGCGTTCTTCCTTGTGTTGAGGTCTTGGTGTAGTTTAAGAACTGTGCACTATTGTCCTATATAAAACAGTTACATAAAGAGTAACGATTAAAAAAAAACACGGATAAAGGGGTCATCCATTTATGACGTCCACACGGGAGGGAGGGGGAGGAGGGAGTTCGAAAGAAATCGACTTTTGTGGACAATTGTAAACTGGGCGGGGGGGGGGGGGGGAGCGGGGGGTTGTCAGGTCAATGTGGACGTTCACTGGTTAAATTTAACATCCAAATTCTAACATCTAAAAAAAATGTTTAAAAAGAAATAATTGAATTAAAAAGAAATAAAAACTGCATATACGATTTATGAATTAAATTGGCAGTTCTCGTGTTTAAAAAAAAAAATTCTTAAAAAAACGTTTTAATAACAAGCTTTTATGTAATAATGCACTAAAAAGTAGAAAATAAATTATAGACTACTATTTAAATAACTATAAAGAAAAGCGTGGGTGTCTTCCTTAACATTAGTAAAGGTATCCAATAGATACTAAACTGACCCACGCTATTCCTAAATAATTAATGGGAAGATTTTTTAGCCCATGGCTCGTCCTTCTAACAATGTTTGTTGGCACGTCTAGTGGGCACGTTGTCAGTGTTTGTTCCAGACTTTTTTCTCCGGGGGTGCACTTGAAATTTTCGGGGGAGGCGGACAACAATTTTCGGGGGGGGGGGGGGGATGCGGACACTGTCAAGAGTATATACTTTCTATATAAATTCCATTTCGTTCGGGGGGGGGGGGGCAGTCAGGGGCGGATTAAGCTTCTGCGGGGCCCCTGGCTGAAACTTTTTCCGGGGCCCCCTAAACTATATATATATATATATATATATATATATATATATATATATATATATATATATATATATATATATATATATATATATATATATATATATATATATATATATATATATATATATATATATATATATATATATATATGTGTGTGTGTGTGTGTAGTTTATATAATGACATCACAAAACAGAGGCCTTTCCAAAAAATAAAGGTTGAATGGAATAAGCTAAATGTTAACAGAAGCCATGGCATATACAAAAAATGTTACATTAAATGTAATGTTAAATTACATTCAGACTTAAGAGCATTTAAAGTGACAATTATTTATTTACTAATGCAAAAGAAATTATGAATACTTACATTTATTACAGTTGTTTTTATTTAGAACTAAAGACCAAGTAACTTTTATAGGGAACATTTTCGAGCTTTCCTGATAGCAAACCCTTCTATTAGTTCTGTATAATTTAGTGAGCTTACATTGTCATTTTTTATGCTCATAAGTGAGAGCATACTAAGTCTCAGCTGTCCCATAGTGCTTCTAAGATTGCTTTTAATCTTTTTCATTTTGGAAAATGAGCGCTCTCCACTGCAGTTAGACGTCATCATACACAGATAAATTCGAAGAGCAATGTGCACATTTGGAAAGCTCTGAATGCACTTGAATCTATTTAAAAACATCAACATTTCTAATTCAATGCTATCATTGTAGACGTTTTGCTCTTTTCCCCATGAATTGATTTAAACAGCTCGGCAAATTGAATCAACTCCGATGAAAAACATTCTTCAAAATCATCGGGATATTTGTTGATTAGTTTTGTAGCTGCTCCTGTAATGTCACCAGTGCTAAGGTTGGTCAGGTCACTGAAGAAATCGAACATTTCTTGAACAGTTTTATAGGGATCTAAGCGATGATGTAGAGCTGCAGTTAGGTGGTCGATCACACAGATGAATACTTCAGTCATAAATTTTTCTCTAGGAAAAAGTTGCATTTCTGAAACTTGCTTTCGTCAAATTGTCGCTTCCTCTTTAGTGGTCGTCTGTTGGAATATGTGTAGTCTTTGACTTCACATTTAATTTTTCCTTTTGATTCGAAGCTAGCGAATTCATTACGTTGACTTTCAATAAAAAGGAGAACAGATTTTAACAAATTAACTGCTGTATTAAGAGATAAACCTTTTTCTTGAAGAGATACATTCGTTTTTTGCAATCTCTCTAAAATTGTATCCCATACCTCCAATAATATTACTGTTTCTAGTTTTTGTAAACTTTTAAGATATCCTTCAGCTTCAGCTCTACATTTAAGAGGTTGATTTTCATCGGCTGCTAACTCATCCAAAGCCGATATATTTTCCTTATACCCTCTATTTAAAGCCTTAACAGCATCATGTCGAGCGGACCATCTGGTTTCCGACAAAGCTTTAGCAACAGGCAATCCATTCATGTGCTTGTTGTGAATATGCCAACGATGGGTAGATGCAGAAAGCCAAGAGTAAAGGCTCTGAAGGAGATTAAAAAACCCAACTGACGTGGGGCAGCACTCAGCTGCACAGCTCCAACTAAATTGGAGTGAATGTGCTGTGCACGGTACATACAATGCTACGTCACACTTCTCCGGATTTTAGCCTGAACGCCGTTATACTTGCCACTCATGTTGGAACGCGTTGTCATATGATTGACCGCGACAATTTTTTATGTCAATTCCATTTTCTTCCAAAAATGTTAGTATTAAATTAGCTATTTCCGAACCAGTGTGTGAAAACATTGGTACAAATTTTAAGAAGCGCTCAATAGGTCCGGTGTCTTGTACATAGCGAATAACGATTGTGAGTTGATCAACATGTGAAACATCTGGAGTCGAATCTACAGATATAGAAAAATATTTCGCTGTCTTTATTTCATCTACAATTACAGACAAAACCTATTGACCCATAAGTTCAATCATCTCCTCACATATTGTTGAAGATATGTAGGATGTATGTCCACGTCCTTTGTTGGCGTGTATCCGCATATGTTCTGCGAGAAAGGTATCGTACTGGCTTAACAGCTCCAGCAACCCGAGATAATTCCCATTGTTTGGAGAGCCAATCTCTTCAGTTCTGCCCCGAAATGGAAGACCACGAATACAAAGAAACTGTACCACACTCACGATTCATATTGCGTTACAAGTTTCATGTCAATCTGACCAGTAGATTTTCGTGAACACAGCGCTGCCAATGAATCAATGTGTTGTTTGGAATTTTCATGCTAGATAGCGCTTCATGGGCACTTTTCCATTGTTTGAACCCTGATGTCATTTTGTTAGTTATAGGTGACATCAGCTTACATACAAAACAATAAACACACCCGCTTGTTTTGGAATAACACAACCAATTTTCTTTCAAATTTTTCTCCTGTTCGTGCATGGACACGTGTGAATAAAGAAATGGTGCAGACCCGACGTTGTGACTCTCTTTCTAACTGTATGACCGATTCTTTAAAGTCCCCGTTTTTGTTTTGACATGGTGTGGTACCACGTTGAATCCAATAGTTTCTAAAATGCCTCTGACATCTTTTCCCGCTCTGGCCAAAAATGAAGGTCGTATATAGCATGACTATCTTCAAGGGGTTTAGCTGTATCATCTTTCAAATCACATTGTTTTAAAGCAGGAGCCCTGCTCTACATCTTTTACCCCGGCGTGTCTGATTCAATTGCAGATCCCTTTTCTACGTGACTATTTTCCTTGGTACTCGAAGTTGGTTTGAAAAAGGA